GGGAAACTGATATGATACAGCAATTTGTATATGGGGTAAAAGGGGGAGTTCATAATCCACGTGAATCAAACTGTGTAATATGATGTATTAAGAACTATGTAATGTTATGAACGACCAATTAAAAAAAAAAAAGAACAAATGTTCAATAAAAACAGGTTGTTGAATATGATTTATGTCTACACTGTTAAGAAAGTGGCTACTTCACATTTGGGATTCCAAGACCTTAAATACTAGCTAGGAATTCAGCTAGCTGGGCCTTAGTTGAGTCTAAAAAGCCAAAGTAAACTTGGAGAGAAGAAGTGTAGCCCTATGGAATTGTTCTTATCTCAGACTAAAGATCCATTGGAATGATAAATGACAGCAAGGATCATAATGGCAAAGTATTCTTTTGATTATGAGAGGTACTTGCATCTTTGTGTTTACATACATTTGAAGGTAGTAAGTAGTGCTACATAAAAGGTCCTCAGAAATTGCTTCTATATATGTAATGCTAGGAGAAGTCTTGCAATCAATTAGGCAAACGTTATGAGACTTGTTATTCCTAAGAAATAAAACATTATAAAAATTTGAAAGATTGATACTAGTTTCTTACTGCTGAAATTGCCTTCTTCTTCCTCATTAGAAATAAAACAACCACGAGAAAGTTTGAGGTTATTGTCTTCTTTTCCAGTCTTTTAATCTGGATTATTTGAATTCTGGAGTTCTTTACAAACATTACAACTTTAATTCTGTGTAGTATATTTGTTTTCTGCTTTTGCAGGAGCTGTAAATAATACTGACTAGATATGTCTTGTTTAGTAATAAAAATGATTAATGTGAGCTTGAGAGCCAAGCTTCATAAAAGGCTATATATAACTTTCAGTCATATTCTGATAGAGTGCTGTGTGTCGAGTAAGAGAATGCTGTATGAGACACTCCTCTATAAATAGTCTTGGGTTTTTTATTTTGACGTTTTTCATAATGAAAGGAAGATTGTTTGGGATCCATGAGAGGCTTATGTTAGAAATTGTGCATAAGGGTTTAGAGTTGAATTTGGGGTGTATAGGCTTAAGATATTTAGTTCTTTTCAGTAGTGCAACACAGAATTTATACTTCCTCTTTCTACCAATTAAGTAAAGGACCTTTTGCATTTCAATTCTTTGGAAAGACTGAAAAGTATATCATATTTGGGAAGTAGAGTAGAATTAGGCCAGATTAACCTTGCATAATGACTTCACACAAAACAGTGTGGGCCAAGACCTGCAGTTCAGTGATGTGTATTAGAAGTTGATGGCCCTTTGTACTCACAAGTAGAAAAAAAAATTTTCTTGCTGTGGGCCCAAGTCTGGCGGACCCTGCCATGTTCTTCTTCATCATGAAGTCTTCCATATAGTGACTTAACTTCCTGGAGACTTTCTGGAGTAAAAGTGATAATTATTTGAGTCATTATAGATACTTGGAGTTTGATGAAAATAGCAGGCATTCAAATAGCAAGGTACCTGTGTACATACTCACATATCTTTGTACACAACTTCAAGAAGGTTGTGTGTGTATTGACCTGTTGGAGGCTGCCCTTCTAGGAAATGATAGGTGCCAATTTAAATATCTGTGCCCTAGAGTGAATCTCAGCCCTGGGAAAGTAACTTAACCAGGCTCCTGTAGGATATCCAGAGTTAGGTTTAAACCAAATGATCTTGTTTTCCTCTGTCATGATGTTGACATTCTGACTCTTAGAACCATAGGGATGTAAAACATTTCTAACTTCTTATTTTTTTTAGTATTTTTTTTAGCTAAYATTATTTTTACCTTCCCCCTGCCTTGATCCTATTCCTTCTCTTTTGAAGTCTTATTTTGTTGTATCACAAAGTACTTTTTATTGTGGAATATTACAAACATACTGGAAAGTTAATAAAACACAATTGCACATGTTAATGTTAAATAATTTTAATTGTAAYTATAAACCAGGTCAAGTATTAGAGTACGTTGCCTGCCTACCAGCAGATTACCTGGGCTCCTAGTTAAAATGCCCTTCTTTTTGGGTAGAAGTAGCCTCTAAAATGACTTTTGAAATAGTTGTTTCCTTATTGTTCTTTGTAATTTTTATTGTCTATGTATTTTGCTCTAAAATATCCTACTTTTTAAGGAAGTCTTATAAATAGATATTTATTATATATGATTTTTTTTGTCTTGCTTCCTTCAACATATTTGTGTCTTCCATGTTTATTGTCTTTCTTTTTTTTTTTTTTCTTTCTTGGCAAGGTCTCTACCATTGAASTGCATTCCTAGCCTGGTTTTATTTTGTTTAATTTTAATGAGACAGAGTCTTGCTAAGTTACCCAGGCTGGCCTGAACTTATGATTTTTCTGCCTCTGCCTCACAAGTAGCTAGGATTACAGGTGATCACCAATGCATCCATCTTGCTTAACTATACCTTAGTTTGCTTACTTGGTGTACTTTGAAAAGGTCATTGTGATATCTGCCTATGTGAACTTTTGATTTTACCTTTTATCTGCGTTGGAAAAACTTTCTCAGATTTCTAACATTATTTACATTTGTAACATATAAATAATTCGAAATTTTAATAAGAGATTGAGCTGGACATGGTGGCACACATCAGTACTCCTAGCTACTGGGAGGCTAGGGTGGCAGGATCACTTGAGCCCAGGATTTAGAGATGAACCTAGACAACATAGTGAGACCCAATCTCAAAAAAGCGAAAAAAAGATTAAAATCAATAATAATTTTTCTTATTATCTGTTATTTACTTGAAATAACTCATCTGTAATATGTTTTTCTTTTAAATATTTCATATGTATTTTATTCATGGCCATTTAAAAAGTGAATTGAACAATTTTAGCAAATATTTGAGTGTCTACTGTATGCCAGGAACTATTGCAGGTACTAGGGCAGTAGCATTTTTAGACATAATTACTTTATTCTTTATGTATTGTGAAAATTAAACAGATGTATTTCTGATTAAGAAAAGGTCATTGTGCAGAAAAGTATAAAATGAAAAGTTTAATTTTCTGTTTCTTCAGCTCTATATCTAGTGTTAAGATTTGTTGACTGTCCTTCCTAGGAAGAAATATGTAATAATATTATATATCCTTAAGAAATTACACAATGGAATCTGTCATTTTTTGGATTCTTTTTTTTTTTTAGCTTAATCTATATCTTGAAGATTTCAAGGACAGTTACCTTTTTTTTTTAAACTAGGAAATTGCTAGAAATTTAAATGCGTAGCACTTAGAAATAGGACTTTATATTTTCATTCTTCTAGATTTAAACCCTACCCCCAGTTCCGTCCCCACCTATTTATTATAGAATAAAAAATCATGAAAAACACTTTAATAAGAAATCATAAGATATACTTATTGGACATGATAAAACTTATCTATGGAAAAATTACAATTTTAAATTGGTATACATATCAGTATTTCTTTTTTTTAGGCATTGTTGGAGACCATGTTTGGTGTAAAAGTGGTTATAACAGGTGATGCATTTGTACCTGGAGAAAGAAGTGTTATTATCATGAACCACCGGACGAGAATGGACTGGATGTTCCTGTGGAATTGTTTGATTAGATACAGCTACCTCCGATTGGAGAAAATTTGTCTCAAAGCCAGTCTCAAAAGTGTTCCTGGATTTGGTAGGTTATTCACATATTATTTTAAGTGGTACACTCATTGTACATGTGTATACCCACTGTAAATCTATAACTTAGTAAGATAAACTCACTATTAAAGCCATTTGTATTTTTTTGCTCACCAGGACAAAAATAACCCCAGGTTTTTTTTTTCCCTAATAGAGTTGTTTTGCCAGGTGACTCTATTCACTTTTTGAAGTATCTTTTTCTTTTTTTACTTCAATTATTTGGGTTTATTTGCAATATTTTACTTATCCATTTATTTATTATTTTTAGTTATACATGATAGTGGAGTACATTTTGATATAATTAAATAAGCATGGAATGTATCTTATTCTAGTTAGGACCCCATTCTTTTGATGTACATGATAGTAGGATTCACTGATGTTTTCATACATGTACATAGGAAAATGATGTCTGATTCATTCTGCTTTCCTTTTCCTCTCTCCACTCCCTACCCTTCATTCTCCATTGGCTAATCTATAGAACTTCTGTTCTTCTCCTCCCCAACCCCCTTATTGTGGGTTAGCATCCACTTATTAGAGAAAACATTCGAACTTTGGCTTTTTGGGACTGCTTTATTCTGCTTAGCACGATTGTCTCTAGATCCATCCATTTATTGCAGTTGTCATAGTCATTCGTATTTATGCTGAGCAATACTCCATTGTGTATATATACCACATTTTCTTTATCCATTCATCTGTTGAAGGGTACCTAGGTTGGCTCCAAAACTTAGCTGTTGTGAATTGATCTGCTGTAAATGTTGATGTGGCTGTCACTACAGTACACCGATTTTAAATCCTTTGGMTATATAGTGAGGAGTGAGATAACTGGGTCAAATGGTTCCATTCCTAGTTTTTTGAGGAAACTCCATATTGCTTTCCAGAGTAATCTCACCAATTTGCAGTCCCACCTGCAATGTATGAGCATACCTTTTCTCCACATCCTTGCAAACATTTATTGTTACTTATATTCTTGATAATTGCCGTTTTAACTGGAATGAGATGAAATCTCAGTGTATTTTTAATTTGTATTTCTCTAATTGCTAGAGGTGTTAAACAATTTTCATATAYATTTGACCATTTGTATTTCTTTTTCTGTGAAGTACCTGTTCAGTTCCTTTGCCCATTTATTGATTGGGTTTGAAATATCTTACTCTGAAAGAGGAAATAAACTATTTTCAAGGGAGTGAATGTAGTTTTTGAGGACCAACATTTGGAAGGATATAAATAATAGTTGGGTATCTTTTTACTGTGTGTCATGCTTATGACTTAGGCCAGAAACTGGTCTATGCTGATAAGATATTTGAAATCAACTGATTCATGTACAATTCATCTAATAAATATTAATTGAAGACCTATTGGTTCCAAGCATTATTGTAGGTGCTGGTATTTTCTGAATTGTCCTAGTCCCTAATTCATAGTTTTTTATTTTGTTTCTTTCTTTTTGGTCTTCTTATTGTGTTTGTATATTATAACATTCAGGCTCCTAGAGATGTTTACTTTAAATRGGTAGGAATATAATATGTTTCTTGTGCATTGCAGAAATAGGAATATTTTAGCATTGTATTGCCCCCTTTCTTAATGTGAAATTGGGGTAGGAAACAGACTATAAACATATTACTTAAAGCAGTTATTGACACATAGGTATATGAAGTGTTCACTATACAGCCTCATCTATTATATGTATATTTCTATGTTTTCCTTGTGTAACATTTCTTACTTGAACTATTCACCCTTTAAACCATCTGTCTATCAATAAGTATTTTGAAATGATGTATAATTGCCAACGTCAAAGGGGAGGCATTGACCTCAGGATAAACCAGTAAGAGGGTTTGTGATTGATGTAATAAGTATATTTGTGTTTTAATTGCCTTCATGCTTGTAATTTAGTGTTTCTCTTTGCCATTTTTCCAAGATAATAATCTCAGGGTAAGCAGGTTTCTTACTTGGCAATTGGCTTCTCTTTGTATCGTAGCAATCCTAGAGAACCAGTAGAAAGCTGTAAGACTTTTTATGACCTAGCCTTAGAATTCACAGAGTGTCACATTGATAGCCCTCAAAGAGTCTAGAGAGGGAGTGTAGTCATCAACTTTTGATGGAAAATGTATATCAAGAATCTCAGTATTTTAAAAACTGGCATATTTCTGAAAGGACAGATCAAGAAAGAAAAGAGGAGGCACATATTGCCAGCAACTAGAACGATGATGTCTTATGTACCACTCTTAATTCTACATGAAATATAGTAGCAGGATATTAAGAATAACATCATGCCAGTATGTATGAAGTCAGCCAATCAGACAGAAAAACACAACTATCAAAATCTGAGAGTATTGACTAAAAATGAAGAAGAAAATGAAAAAGTCACAGTTGTGTGTCTAACAAAAAGAGACTACGTAAAAAGTCTTCTTATAAAAGTTTTTTTGGCAATTCATGGCAGTTACTTGATTTTCTTCACTTTCAAAACCAGTCATCAAGTCACCAAGCAGGAGAAATAAACCATATACTACTCATCTATTTCACATATCTGGGAGTCAGAGAAAAATAAGTTTAAAATAAGAAAAGTAAGTTCCCAATTGTTGTAAGTAGAGAAACGAATCCCACAAGATTTCCTTCCATCCTCCCACTATGGGTACTAAGGGTGAAGAGAGAAGGCTTAGGAGTAGAGAGGCATGAACTACTCAGAAACATAAGCTAGTCATCCCTAGAAAGACAGAGCCTAATACTAAATACCAAAATACTAAACACAAGTCCGACAAAGAAGTTCACAGCACAAAATAAAGGAAAATAATTTTAAAGACAGTGGGACCTAAAGTGGCAGCCTCCAAGACACATTGCTTCTGAGGGAGAATCAGATTTGTTGAAGAAGAGGCAGCTCCCCTTAAAAGAAGGGCAGTGGAGGAAAACAAGGAGTGAAATAAATTAAGGATCCTGCAAGATGTAAGAGAACCAAGGAGTAACTTCCCCTTCACTTCTCCACTGCAGAAGTAAACCCACAAAAGAAGCAATAAACAAAAGACTTTCGTATCCATATATGAAACTTCTAAATAGAGAACAGAACTGGAAAAAAAATAATACTGCAGCACAGTACTCTCCGCTGAATTACATATTATTAAGCATGCATTTGAGATTAGGGATAAAAACACTTTGAGAAACGCAAAGAATAGTAATGGGATGAGAAACAAGATATATAATGGGAGTTAGTTGAATTGAAAAAATAGACCAAAAAGAAAATCATATTAGAAATGAAGAATAAAATTTTATGAGGTACCCAAGAAGAGGTAGAATAAAATAAAATTTAATACTTTATTGCTGGAAAGCAAGAAAAAGAGAGAATACATTTATCAGGGAGAAGTAATTGAAATGGAAGATGGTTAAAGATCTAACATATGTCAGGTTGAGCATTCCTAATCTGAAATTTGAAATTCTTCAAAGTCTAAAACTTTTTTGGTACTAGGGTTTGAATCCAGGGGCACTTAACCACTGAGCCACATCCCAGTCCTTTTTATTTTTTATTTTGAGACAGGATCTCACTAAATTGCTGAGCCTGACTTTGAACTTGTGGTCTTCCTGCCTCAGCCTCCCTAGCCACTAGAATTGTAGATATGTACCACCATGCCCAACCAAAGTCCAAAACTCTTTGAGCTTCAACACACCACAAGGAGAAAATTCCATCCCTGACCTCTTGTGATGGGTCACTGTCAGATGTACAAAATTATTTTAAAATAGTGCCTAAAATTACCGTCAGGCTATGTCTATAAGATATATATGAAATAAAAAGAATTGTATGCTTCCAGCATTATAGTAGGAAAAGCTCCAGAGACTGCTCTCTAGTGAAATTCTGATATATCAGTCATTCTCTAGAAATTGTCTGAAATATAAATAGCAAATGTAGACACATTTCTTTGGAAAATTTACTAAGATTTGTTAGGAGCAATGAGATTCCATGGCATTTAAATAAGACCTCACTCCCAGCTCAAGCAGGCAGAATTGCCACTCCGGACTGGTACAGCTAAGATCACAGGGCTGTCTCTGGCTTTTGCTTCCACAAATCCTCACTACCTTCTCTTGAAAACTTTGTATTTATATTATACAGGGTCTGGGCTGTTTGGGTTCTAAGAAAGCAAATTAGACTAGAGGTCATTTGGTAAAATGAAATTTTAAAATCTGCATATGAAAGATCATTGAATTTTGGATGTAAATAACATGATCTCATTATCATAAAATGTCAAAGGTTCAAAAGTTCTATCAACATTTAACAGTATATTTAAAATCCACATTCTCAGATAGGTATCAATTTGATTCAAATTTAAATATAGAAAATTTATCTCCTATTCTAAAATTAGCTTTACCAAACATGTTTAGGCAGAGTCTGGGAACCATTAAATGTTCTCTTTCAGTTTCATATATGCCGTTTTAATAGGCTTGTCTAGTCTACATTTAATTTATTTAGGATCATATATTATAAAATCACATAAACAAACAAACAAAAAAMCCTATAGATTCCCATGGGGTCATGCTAAAGTGAACTATCCACTAAAAGKTTTAAGACTTCTTCTCTTTATGAATGAATAGTTTATACTCCTTTGTCTTGATCTATCTCAGAGTTTAGAAAATGAGGCAATTCAATGGAAGAAAAGTGAAGAAGAGTCTAATAATTTGTTACATGGGACTCTGCCAAATACTATGCCAGGAACTTAGGTACCTTATGTTATTGAAAAATCACAACTGCATGCTACAACATAGTATCATTGTTAAAGAAAATGCAATTGGAGAAAATTGAATAACTTGCCTGTTGCACATAGATACTATAGGATGGAAATAATTTTGAAACCAGGTGTGTCTGGTTCCAGAATCAAAGACACAGGAAAGATTTAATTTTAAATAGTATGCTTAACTTTTAAATTTTTACTTTGTGTGTATTACACATAACAGGTACATAGTACATAGTATAAAGTGAATTTCTTGGTAATCCCTACCTTGTAGTCASTCCGTTTCCTTCTC